AGAACTGCCCGAGGGTTTCTCATGAGTGTATAACAAAACTGATGAGGAAGGAAATTATATAACTCAGATTAATGAGTATTAATAGCCTTGTTGTCATTACTAAAAATGTATTCTGATCATTCAGTATATAAAGTTTATATTTGCATTTCAAGATCATTTTTAAAACATTAAAATATAAGTAAAAATTTAACCATTTTTAAGTACCTGAGTTTTCTATACTATAAAGTAAAATAATATGAAGAAACCTTTGCTTCAGATCCTGAAGACTAATAACTAACAAATTCTTGTGAGGAATTATCTAACATGAAATAACCCAGAAGGCATTGGTTGTTGGACAAATGTTTTGATGTTGAAATATTGTTATTAACGGAGAGAATAAGCCACAATAAAGTGGATGAAAATTAATAACTCAATCTACACACATGCTTAAAAGGGAAAGTGATGACGTTTCAGCTTGTCCTGGAACCTGTATGGGATACCTTTGACAGGCTGCTGGCTTCCTGTCCCAGCCGAGGCCAGGGTGGGACAAGAAGCTCTTTACAGCTCTCTATTGTAGTTATTTATTATCACAGCTCATTATTGTTGTTAAGGGAGCCGGTCAGCCGAGCGGACAGCACGCTGGACTTGTGATCCTGTGGTCCCGGGTTCGATCCCGGGCGCCGGCGAGAAACAATGGGCAGAGTTTCTTTCACCCTATGCCCCTGTTACCTAGCAGTAAAATAGGTACCTGGGTGTTAGTCAGCTGTCACGAGCTGCTTCCTGGGAGTGGAAGCCTGGTCGAGGACCGGGCCACAGGGACACTAAAGCCCCGAAATCATCTCAAGATAACCTCAAGATAACTAAGTTTTTCCAACGATTCCAACAGAATACACAGGCATTTGATAGAACAAATTCCAATAACAGTTAACAGACTTTCATAAAGCTCAAGCTTATGAGTAACAGCAAGTTAACTCAAACTTTCTGAAGCAGCAGCCATATTGGTGATTCTCAACAACATAGTACTTTACTATACTTTATCACTTTACTAATAAGAGAGATGGTGGCTTCCCAGATAAATCCTCGATCCTTATCAAGTCATAGGGGCTTGTCAAGTCCAGGACCCAGGTCAAGTTCATGACCCCTAGTCAAGTCCAGGACCCTAGTCAAGTCCAGGACCCATGTCAAGTTCATGACCCCTAGTCAAGTCCAGGACCCTAGTCAAGTCCAGGACCCATGTCAAGTTCATGACACTAATCAAGTCCTGTACCCCTAGTCAAGCCCTGGACCTGATGCCTGAGAGGACAGCGCTTCGGATTCGTGATCCCGAGGTTCCAGATTCGATCCCCGGTGGAGGCAGAGACTAATGGTCAAAAAGTTTCTTTCACCCTGATGCCCCTGTTACCTAGCAGTAAATAGGTACCTGGGAGTTAGATAGCTGCAGCAGGCAGCTTCCTGGGGGTGTGTAACAAAAAGAAAGCCTGGTCGAGGACCGGGCTGCAGGGATGCTAATTCCCGAAATCACCTCAAGATAACCGCAAGATAGTCCAGTCCTGGACCCTAGTCAAGTTCAGGACCCTTACCGAAATGTCCTAATTTTCCATTCTTGTCGTATACAGTATTTAGGTTGGGTTATTTATGCTATAAATATTGAACCAACATTGTTCCAACACTGTGCCAGCTGTGAATTAAACCATATATTGTAGCCATCTAGTATTAAATGTAAATTAAGATATTCATCAGAAATTTGAGGTATATACAGAAAATATTTAAATATTAAATTATCTTATGCAAGAAATGTCCTTATATGACTTCTATACATTCTATTAAGCTTTAAATGAAATGTACAATATTTACTATATTATCTACATATAAAGACTAATATGCTACAGTACACAACTTATAAATCTAAGTCACACTCATTTGAATAATAATTTATATATAAAAAAGCCATTAGGCAGATAAATAACTTTACAAAAATACTTTCATAATAATAGAGTATAATAAAAAATTGTACTGTTTGTAATAAATCATGACAATATGTATAAAATCATTGGTGTCTTATTGCAGAAATAAAGGAAACCCTTAAAATGCCTCAAATAAGCATTGGCATGTTTACATACTCTTAACATCAAAAAATTTAAATAATATTCTTACCTATTCCAACGATAACTTACATGGAAAAGAGTTGCTGTGAGTATTATCGAGACTTACACAGTTTTGGTATATTACATGATACACGATATTCTTGCATCATGGCACCTTTTGAATCACTTTTCCATAAATACAAAGGTAATATTTACTCAAACATCACAAGTGAGCACTGGCTACATATCTGATTTATACACAATACGTGTAGATAGAAATAGATACAACTCAGTAATAATGTTTGGATAGTTGAATATGATTGAGATAATTGTAGAAAAAAGTGTGATTTTGGGAGATCTATGGAATGCACTGCTATTTTTATTTATTTTACCCATACATAACTCAACTATTTTTTTGTGTGATTTTGTATTGTACAAGGGTCCCAGTAGTACATACAAATTCATTCTCAGTGCACGTCAAGAATCCCGAGTTCGAATCCCATGAGGAACAGAAATGGTTGGGCACATTTCCTTTCACCTAATGCCACTCTTCACCTAGCAGTAAGTAGGCACTCAGGAGTTAGTCAGCATGTTGTGGGGTTGCATCCTGGGCAGGGTCAGTAATTCAACCTTTGGGGGTAACCTCGCTATAAGCCTAACGTGTATGAATACACTCTGGCTTCCTGTCCCCAAACACAATGAATTATTATTATATGAATTAAGGTTTTCTTAGAATAAATCTCATGCTATTTGAGGGCCAATTGTATGGTTTAGTAAAGTTATTGGAGTAATCTATCTTGAGAATATCTTGAGATGATTTCGGGGCTTAGCATCCCGCGGCCCGGTCCTCAACCAGGCCTCCAATTTTTGTTGCACATCCCCAGAAAGCAGCCCGTAGCAGCTGTCTAATTCCCAGGTACCTATTTACTGCTAAGTAACAGGGGTATCAGGGTGAAAGAAACTCTGCCCATTTGTTTCTGCCATCGCTGGGGATCGATCCCTGGTTCACAGGACTACGAATCAGTAGAGCTGACCACTCAGCCACAGGCTTCCCTATGAGTTGGCTAAACACATTACTAATGTTTTCTTAGTTTATACAAGTCTGTAATAATAATTGATTTAGTTAAAGACTTCAGCTCCATTAACCGAGTCATTTGCTTATAATATAACATAAGGTAAATGTGTTTATAATTCCTTTATAAGAAAGGTAAAAAGTATTATTTTTAAACTACTGAATAATAAAAATATTGAGGATGTTTTAGCATTGCCAGATAGGATTAAGTGTTTTGTTTTTGTTTTTTTAACAAAATATGCATTTGATTTTGTCACTATTTCCTATTATACACTATTGAACATTAGTAAATATGTAACTTACTCACCACATGTAATTCACTCGGTTAATAGACTACTGTGGTCCAGTTCTTGAATCAATTTTGCTGGCAAGGAAAACCGATTTATTTCCACATTAACTGTAACTATCTTATCAGATTGTAACTTACTAAGCTAAATGAATTTATGGTTCAGTTACCGAGCCCATTACGTGTCTGACGTTTGAAGATGCATAATAAATCAACAAAATGAACAGACCATGCAGGCTGCCCATATATATGATTACCTGAATAAACATTTATTTATTTATTATTTATTATATAACCTGCAAACTATTGTCACACAACTGAGAGTTAAAGTATGATTTGCAATAAAGAAACAGTATACTGTATGTTTAAAATTTTAAAATTAATTTTGTCCTGCTTGATTTTCTTTGAGATTAATAACAACCTTGAGAAATATTTCTCATTTGAATCTATAATCCATCCCAGTAACTTGATACCTCCTGCTTGCGAGTCATACTCCCTGCTAGCAAATCAATACCCCCCTGCTTGCAAGTCAATGCTCCCTGCTAGTGAATCAATACCCCCTGCTTGCAAGTCAATGCTCCCTGCTAGTGAATCAATACCCCCTGCTTGCAAGTCAATGCTCCCTGCTAGTGAATCAATACCCCCTGCTTGCAAGTCAATGCACCCTGCTAGTGAATCAATACCCCCTGCTTGCAAGTCAATGCTCTCTGCTAGCGAGTCAATGTTCCCTGCTAGTATGATTTCTATTAAACTATTATTTCTCTACATATGTCTGGGTTGGATTATAAACAGTAAAATAAGCATATACTGTACAACATTAGAAAATTGGGGTCACATTTTAAATAACAACAGTTATTAAATTCCAGGATTATAGATTCTTGCCGCAAGAGCTGAGAAATTAGAAATCTTTGTAATACTGTACATAACAGTACTGTCTTACAGTACTATTATGTATATGTAAAAAAATAAATACTGAGGTTTATGACTTCAGTTGTTAAATTTTTTAAGAGAGTAATATGAAGTTGCTTGTACTATATGATGTAACTTAACTTTCTATGTTTTCATATTATTAAAATAAAACTATCAATTTTCTTTATAATCTTCCTTCTCATTAGCAAAGCAGCTAATGAGAAGGTAAATACCTATGAAGCAATAATATTGGCAGTTACATGATATTTGAACTTATAAACATTAAACTAGAGACACACGATCAGTGTCATGTGAAAGGAACTTATTCAGAAGTAAATACAAAGGAACAGCTTTCAAATTCCATGTATAAAACGTATGTTAAATGACGCTATACACTAGCAGTGAAAACTAGAGCATAATATTCTAGTGCTACATAGGACTAGCTCACTGCTATTCCCAAGGGATGGCCTTTCACATGATCATTGAGAATAAAACACCTGGTATGTTGACCAGACCACACACTAGAAGTTGAAGGGACGACGACGTTTCGGTCCGTCCTGGACCATTCTCAATCAACTTGAGAATGGTCCAGGACGGACCGAAACGTCGTCGTCCCTTCACCTTCTAGTGTGTGGTCTGGTCAACATACTTCAGCCACGTTATTGTGACTCTGAGAATGGTCCAGGACGAACCGAAACGTGGTCGTCCCTCCACCTTCTAGTGTGTGGTCTGGTCAACATACTTCAGCCACGTTATTGTGACTCTTCGCCTGCAATAAAACACCTATTTTCAAATGACCACTCGTGCAGTCACTGGGAGGAGATAACCTTCACACAAACTACACAAATAATATTCAAGATAATTGGAGTTTTGTTCTGTAAGCAAAGATTTTATCAGTTCTACTATAGTACAGCATAGACAAAATTGTGAAATTTTATACGAGGTGTGTTATCACATTTACAGTTGTATGCGCTAGAAAGAAAAGACATTAAAGGATGCAAATACAAGAAATTTATCATACAGTACTCCATTACTATTATCAAGGTTTCAAAATTGCTTAATAAACTATACAGTACAGTAACTAAAAAATTAAGAAAAATCATTACAATATTAAATTTAAAAAAAAATTAAAAACAATTTTGGGATTATAACTATTTTCCACAAGATATAATATGGATTTTTCTGTTTAATGGTTGCAGTTTATGAAACATGTGATGTATTATCAAATTTAATTAAACATATCAAGCCATTATTAATGTAACAACCTACCATGAATTCAGTATTAATGATAATTAAAAAAATTGGCCACTATGTATTTGAATGGAGTGCATGTGCTATTGTGTGAGAATAAGGAGTAGCTCATTGTTACCCATGGAGTTAAGCGTATGTATGTCGATGCCAAGGGCATTAGCCACACTTGACATGTCAAGACCGAAGCTCTTTAGCAGTTCAATGAAGTTCATCTCTTCACCTGTAATTTATAAAATATCTCTGTTAGTGTCTTTAAAGGCTGGTTCTCAGAACTGATCCTCTATGTACCTGACCTGGTGTAAGGAGTCAGACTCTTACTACAAACTGAATTTCTTTTTAGTAATATTGTCCATACATGCCTTTATATCTCAAATGTATTATGTTGCTGCAGTTTATTAAATTTTAAAATGACATCATACAAGATGCATATAATGTACATGAAAATTTTAATTTTGAATTAAATAAGGATTACAATACAGTATTGCATTTTGATATTCAATAAAAGAGCTAGGTAATTTGTATTCCAGTAACCCAAATCTTCCATTAATCTGAATGAAGTCACAGTCATGTTTTTTAATCTACGTTGAACTTTTAACCCGAATAGCAATTCAGGTTAAAGTTTATACCAAATGAGAACTGGAATAAATTTGACTTAGAGTGCTTCACTTCTCAACTTTAATAAAAATTTGGATTACAGTACTTAAATTTTGGTCAAACAAGAAATCAAAATAAATAATAACAAAAATATTTGGACATTAATGGTAACAAAGTTGTCTACCTTGAATGTTTGACTAACTAGAATAGGGATGGGGGCCCATATTATACAGGTTACTGAATTTAGTATACAACTCACAGCATTTACTCACAATCATTAACACTCTGGAACAGCATAATACACACATATCTGCCCAACACATAGGGGTAAAGCACGAAAATAATATACGATGCAAGGATGTAACTTTCTTGTGTAGAGATGGTGCACCAAATACACTCTGCAAGTCTCTGACAGCTTCCACACTTATACAGCTCCAGTTGCCTTACGCAGCATTTTCACATTTGATTTGTAAACTATTTTTAGTCAGCTTGTTGTGGGGGATGCATTGTGGATGGGGTCAGTAATTCGACCTTGTGGGGGGGAACTTGATATGAGCCTAACGTGTATGAATACACACTGGCTTCCTGTCCCCTGACAATGAATTAACTAATTATTATAAACCAATATAAGTTTAGCCTCATTTACTCACCTGTAAAAGGATTCAATAACTTTGGACAAGCATAGTTGCAGTGCGGCCATTCGCAGCGATCAGTGAGGTGCAAGGTGCGGGGTGGACACATGTCCTCTGTGTACTCATCTTCTGAAAGTTGCATATTGGCATTACCTGCCTTCTGGCTTGACTGTGCTGTGACAGAGGGTGTGGGAGATGACCCAGTGGTGGCCTGAGAGGAATGGTGGAGGGAAGAATCTGTGGTAGTGACAGGCTCAATGTGGATTTGCTTGGAATGAAGAAGAAAAAGTGAACGTGCACTTCTAAGCCCCTCGTCAGAATTCTCCTCTGTATCACTTAAGCCTGAAAAGCAAAGCGTAAGTTATGCAGATAAAACAAAATATACTTGTGTAATTACAGGTGTGTTTTGCGGCCTGCAATATTACATTCATTACTTTGTCAAATTCTGTTTGAAAGCCCACTACAGTACTTTATAAAATACAAGTGATGAATGTAATGAAAAAACAATTTCTGGGAGTTCTGAAGCCAGCTTCCTGAGCTTGCTTCATACTAAATGGTCACATCAGTCGTGGGTTAGCTCTTTTGGTCTAGTGTGGACCAGAGTCAGAACCTGGCCCCTCAAAAGTGGTGAAGGGATCAAGTTACAATCCACCACTTCACCAGAAAAAGCCTCCTTAAAGTCAGTGTAAGATACTATGTGTGAGTTGCATGGTCTATGAGAGAGCACATAGCTCATATTGTCTTATCTATTGTCAACCCATGTCTGTTTTCTTAAACAACGCTGTTTGTTGACCTATTTGTATTTGTGCTGCTTTTTCAGCCATGTTTCCCCCTTTTTATCTTTATTTGTTCTCAACACATTTTATTCTTTATACTCATTTAGTATTAAGTACTAGTCATTAAAGTTTTTCCTGCCAGAAACACTTTGCGTAATAGTGGCTTTAGGCATTGTATGTACTAGCCCTATCTATAAATCTATCAATTTATGTAAAATCTCTTGTATGTATGTACCTTACCTGAATAAACATTTTATTTTTATTTTATTTTTATATCTAGTTATATATAGAACAAACCCAAGCCCTCCCAGGACACAGAGAATGTCTAGTCAATAAATGAGTCAATTTCTTGTTTTTTACTTATATCTTATTATTTATATCTAGTATATTTACTTGTATCTAATTATATCTACTTAGTTAATCCCCTTGTCACTAAACTTAGGGTTCTTTATTACCCTGTTATATTTAAAGTAACTTGGAATTTGTATCTTTGTAATCATTTATTGGAATTAATTAATACAGTAGTACAGTATTATTGTTTATACACGCATCTACCTCAGTATCATAGTAAAATCTTCCACAAATATAATCTCACCCTGTTTAATATAAATCTAAGTGAAAAATAGAGTAAATTTCTAGATTCACTTCGATTTATATATATCTTTTTTTTTTTTAGAATTATCTATTTGAGCTCACTTTGTTTTCTTAGGTTCATACTAATTATAGGATTTTAACTAACCCTTACTAAGCTAATTATCTTTAAGATCATTTTACTTAAAGAATTTTTTTTACATTTTTTCTCATTTTGTAATTATCTGATAGCAGTACATTGTAACTGTTCTGGTTATTTGTATTTTGAGCAACAACCTGGTGGATATTCAATGACCAGAGGTGCTTTGCTAGGACATGGAAACTATCCTATTGTTATTACCTTCTAGTTAGGTACCTGGGTGTTAGTCAGCTGTCACGGGCTGCTTCCTAGGGGTGGAGGCCTGGTCGAAGACCGGGCCGCGGGGACACTAATGCCTCGAAATCATCTCAAGATAACCTCAAGATAGTTAATTATTTTATATCTGTTTCCCTTATTGTAATATTGTTCAACAATACTTAAATGCACCGGCATGTTTTCAGACAAATTTAAATCTCTGAAGATTTCTTCTACATTTATTACTGCCTGGGTAACAGCTTCTCCCCCGCATCAACCTACCCTGGCTTTGCGCCCTGGTGAGGCCACTCCAGACCGACAACCAGAGCGCAACTCCATAATCTCCCGAGACTGATGGATGCCTACTACTAAAGTTTATGTTAAGTATATTTCAAGACTTAAACATACTTTATGTGATTTATATGATAAAGCACAGAGATAAATGGAGAGTAAATTATCAGTAGGAAATATGGAATGAACCAGAGAAAGTTTCCTACCTTGTCCTCTACCCTCCAAGCTTCTTCCAACATTTGTTTTCCGTCTCTGAGATTTTCTCCTCCTCCTTTGTCCTGGCAAATACACAATGCTTTATTACAATCAAATTATAGTTTAAAAAATGATGTGCAGAATCCACACCAAATGTTTAACAAAGGCAGAGATGAAATCTAAATATCAACTACTTGGCAAAATGAAAAGTTGAAAGATTAATCTATTGACCTGTAAACGCTGTTATGGTTCACATCGTCAGAGTTGATTGTTCCAAAGGACAAATACTTCAAGGAACAGTTACCTGGTGTGTACAGTACTCCTAGGAACAGTCACCTAGCGTGTACAATACTCCTAGGAACGGTCACCTAGTGTACACAGTACTCTTAGGAAGTCACCTGGTGTGTACAGTACTTCAAGTTACCTGGTGTTTGCTACAATATTGACTACTAACACTAAACAGGAGGATGGGTTGGCATAACTGATGAAAAGACAGATTAAGATCAATTACTGTATTACCTTTTTCTTTCTGCCTCCTCTTTCTTCTCTTCAATCGTTGTCTTTGTCTTTCTCGTCTCTTACGCCGTCTTTCTCTTTTTCTCTTTTTCCTCTCTCTCTCCTTTTTGTTTCTATTTTTCCTTTTGTGTTTTTTAGGTCTTATTTTGGAGGTTTGACTGCCACTCCTATTGGGGCTTTGCTGCCCTTCTTCTGTATGTATTATTTGAACATTTTCCTGAGGTGTGTCTATGGAATTTGACTCGACCACATATGGAGAGCCTGAACTGGAGGACACTTGTACACTGTTCTTTGGTGAGTCAGCAAGCATTTCTCCTTTGAGAATTCTTTGTCTGTTTGTTCCCTGAGACTGTTCAAAGTCGACACTGGTCACACTGCTACCATTGTCACTGTTATTATCACTATTGTTCACTCTCTGTTGAGTTCTCTTAAGCACCAAATGACTACTATGTACATTACCACTAATACTACTACTATCTGCAACTTTACCCAATTCCTGCGACATCGTTTTAGACTTTTTGCCCTTTCGGCGCCCGTTTCTCCTTTCACTTTCACTCTGGGTGTTATTTTTTGTTCGTGCACTGTTTCCCTTTCTTTGGTTGCCTCTGTCACACTTTCTACTTTTGTGATGCCGTTGGCAGTGATGTTTCATAGTTGTTAGTTGTCGTCCACCATCATGCAACCTATGATCATTCTTCCCTCTGTTTTGTGGTGTCTTTGCAACGAGGGCTTCAGAGGGTGTGATGTCCCAACAATAGAGGGCTTGAGGGAGAGACATTTGCCCTATTTTAACACCAGCCCAGTTCCTCTTGGTGAGAACAGTGTGTGAAATGCAGGAAGGAGCAAACAGTGCCCTGGAAAGAGGATAATAGTAAAATACATGAGAAATACCTTTTTTAAGGGGGCATATCGAAAAATATCATTATAAATTAAAATTGTTCAATTTGCTTATAAATTTTTTTATGAAATGGTTATAGAAAGGGCTGCAACTGGTCCAAGTTTCACCATCACACCCTAAACAGAAAAGGAGAAAAAAAATACACAACGTATTATGCAACGAATGTTCAACATTCTCAAATAATCTCAGGGAACACATGTGTCAACTAAAATGTCTACTATGTGCTGTAGAAGCACAAACTCTTGTAATAATTGTAATATGTATGTTCAATATATTTATATTTAAAAAAAAAATTTTTTTTTTTTTTTTTTTTTTTTTGGCCATTTTTTTTTTCTCGTTTGTTATCAAGGGATTTGCATGAAACTTGCACACCTTGCTCAATGGATGCCTATCTGCAAGGGTGCCAATTATGAACGAAATCTGTCGAAGTCAAGCTCAGCTACAGGTGGCCGAACTTGGATCTTTATTTTACTCTGGAAAGTAATTTACACCTTCAAATTACTTCAGAGCTTTCATTTATTAATCAATTTACATGCAAATTACACCTTATATGTAGCGTTTGTGCTTCTACAGACTCTAGTAGACATTTTAGTCCAAAGTCTATTTGTTGATTTTATAAAAATTTATAAATATCATATATTGCATATTTTTTTAGTAGGGTAACTTTGAAAAATTATATTATTGCACTAAACACTTTTTTGATAAAACTGATCACTAGAATCCTTTATTATGTGCTTAATTTAATATCTGAGTGTTATAGAAATGATTGTAGTTGACACATGTGTTCCCTGAAACTATTTGAAAATTCGTTGCATAATTCGTTGTTTATTTTTTTTCTCCTTTTCTGTTTAGGGTGTGATGATGAAACTTGGACCAGCTGCAGCCCTTTCTATAACCATTTCATAAAAAAATTTATAAGCAAATTGAACCACTTTTAATTTTACACTGATATGCCCCCTTAACCAATATTTATCACTAAAGCTATAGAACCTAAAATATGGTTAAGTAGTCTACACTCTTGAGCAACAAGCATAACTCTATAAAAAAACTCTGTCATTACCTTTATTTTCTAATTTGTATCAACTAATTTAACTCAACTTTCATCCTCACAAAGTGAGGATAGCTCTTCAAACCCCCACATACCTCCAATTCATTTTCTCAAAGTATGTTGTTATGTACTGGCAATCTTACCAGACTGTAGCCTACCAGACTGTAGCCTACCAGACTGTAGCCTACCAATGATTGCAATACGTATTCTCTACTGCTGAACTTACTAAAGAAACTAAACAAACATTACCACAATAAGTAGTTTTCGTTGAAATATACTGATAGCAAAAAATAAAATAAGACATGGCTGTTATTTTCAAGGAACAGAATGATAAGGAACTTACGTAACATTTTCTAACGTTCTCATGAGGCGTTTTCCAATACCATGAATATAGTCCCATTGTTCCTTGGAGTTGGGTTTGCCCACGTTGTCTGCTGTCATCTGGGCCTCGTCGAACACCCACTGGAACACGAATAATGGAGCTGCCAATGGCAACAGTGGAAATTATACAAAACTGTCTCATAACCAAACATTGATGCATTTTCTTGCACATCAAAATAAATTCAAAATTCAAATGAAAAAGAGTGAGAATGCTATAGAGATACAACAGAGGACATGAATGGTCAACTAATCAGATTCTATAATAAACTAGTCTGTCTTTCATCATTACCACAAATTCTTATATGATTTGAACAAATCGACGAGGCCGTGTGGATGTGTTCATTTGATGCATCAAGCTATTGTGATTTCTGTGTGTCTTATATCATTTGCTGTTTCCTTAAATTCATTGAATTCATATACAGTATACATTAGCTCACTTCTCGTTTGATATTAAGAGTTACCCTATTAAACATATTAATATGTTCCATAATTATTTTAAGTTATAACAAACATTTTGCATATTAATCGCTTTATATAACATACAATTTATGAACTTACTAGTTAACCACTGTAACATGTTGTAATGTATATTGTATAAACACAAATTATTGTTATAATTGTTATTGTTGTTATTCAAAGCAGCATGACAAGTAAATGTTGCTGTAAAACAAGCCTTCTAAACCTTACGAATAGTTCAATAAATCTCTTACTTCAAATGAGAAGCAAGTGTACAACAGCTGTGCACATCTCTGGTGCTCCTCCATCTGGTCTACTGTATCCAAGCATGTGGACCTCACATATACTCTGGACTACTGTATCCAAGCATGTGGACCTCACATATACTTTGGTCTACTGTATCCAAGCATGTGGACCTCACATCTCACATATACTCTGGTCTACTGTAGCCAAGCATGTGAACCTCACATATACTCTGGACTGTATCCATGCATGTGGACCTTATATACACTCTGGATTACTGCATCCAAGCATGTGGACCTCACATACACTCTGAACTGTATCCAAGCATGTGGACCTTATATACACTCTGGACTACTGTATCCAAGCATGTGAACCTCATACACTCTGGACTACTGTATCCAACCATGTGGACCTCACATACACTCTGGACTACTGTTGTATATATATAAATAAATAAATAAATAAATAAATAAATAAATAAACTACCAAGCCATGTGTAGATATGAAAATAAGAGCATGAACTAAACAGATGTATCTAGGAAGAGCAAATGAGAGCATGAATTACTCAATTGTCTTTTGATATGAGAAATGACTGCAAGAACTACCCAGCCGTGTCTGGGTGTGACATATTAGAGCAAAAACTACCCCAGACGGATCTCGGTAGGATATATTACAAAATAAACTACCAGAGTTGTTTGGGTATGACAAATTAGAGGAAGAACTACCCAGCTGTATCTGCGTTTGACATATGAAGGCATAAACTACCGAGCCGGGTCAGAACATGATGCATAAGAGCATGACCTAAACCTATGTATCTAGATAGGCAAAATGAGAGCATGAACTACTCAACCATGTCTTGATATGACAAATGAGAGCATAAACTAACTACCTAGCGATGTCTGGGCATGACAGACGAGAGCATAAACCACTCAGACGTGCCTGGGCATGAGAAATGAGAGCATGAACTACTCAACCATGTCTTGATATGACAAATGAGAGCATAAACTAACTACCTAGCGATGTCTGGGCATGACAGACGAGAGCATAAACCACTCAGACGTGCCTGGGCATGAGAAATGAGAGCATGAACTTAAATAGCCACAAGTGTAGCTATTTAAATATATTGGTTAGGAATAAACCTGCTAAATCGAAGTTACTTTAGATGCTACAAGTTAGTCTGAATTTAGGTTATTTAAAATACAAGTTATTCTTACATTTCATTGTCGGATAGATCCGATAGCCGAAGTAGCAGAACCAGGGATGATGCGGGTACTTCTCCCTGCACTGATCGGGTATCCTGCCTTGCCACAGCTCTTGGCCCCGCCTGATGGCTTCCACTGGAGGGCAGCTATGGGCATCCACACACTTCAAGGGAGCAAAAGGTTCATTGTCAAGGAACCAGCCGGAGTCTGCGACGGCTCGAACCTCAGCTTGGATACCCAAGTGGGCGATCTGGCTGGCTACCCGGTCCACGTTCACCAGCACGCCCACACCACCTGCACTGTTAACCACACTTGTTACTAACACAGGTACATAATTAACCACACATGTTACTAACACAGGTACATAATTAACCACACTTGTTACTAACACAGGTACATAATTAACCACACACGTTACTAACACAGGTACATAATTAACCACACTTGTTACTAACACAGGTACATAATTAACCACACATGTTACTAACACAGGTACATAATTAACCACACACGTTACTAACACAGGTACATAATTAACCACACACGTTACTAACACAGGTACATAATTAACCACACATGTTACTAACACAGGTACATAATTAACCACACACGTTACTAACACAGGTACATAATTAACCACACACGTTACTAACACAGGTACATAATTAACCACACATGTTACTAACACAGGTACATAATTAACCACACATGTTACTAACACAGGTACATAATTAACCACACATGTTACTAACACAGGTACATAATTAACCACACATGTTACTAAGGCAGGTATGTTATTAACCAAACTTGTTACTAGAACACAAGTATATCATTAACTACACTTAGTTACGAATACTATAACCACATATTAGTAATGCATATCTTAGTATACTACTAGCTACATCTGTCACTAACACCTTATACTACTAGATAATACATAATACTAGATAACATAATACATAATACTAGATAATACATAATGCAGGCGATGAGTCACAATAACGTGGCTAAAGTATGTTGACCAGACCACACACTAGAAGGTGAAGGGACGACGACGTTTCGGTCCGTCCTGGACCATTCTCAAGTCCGTCCTGGACCATTCTCAAGTCGATTGTGATAGATATTACACAATATTAGATAATATATCATACCTGCTTCCTGCTAGGATAAGCTTGTGTCCATGAGTAAAGTTGAGGTTGAGAAGGGCGGCCACCACCTCCTCCACGATGACGCTGCCCATGAAGGACAGCTCCCCCGAGCCCTCCGCTGCCCGACGCGTCCCAGACCATGAGTCCGACGAGCAGTACGGCACGAACCTGTGGGACAGTCTCTAGGTCAGTCTGGCGCCCTCTTTGTGGGTACTTTACTGGTAACTTGGAGGGGGAGAGACAGAGAGAGAGAGAGACAGGGTGATCATTAATTCCTAGGCTAACTCGCATCTGGAACTTATTCGCTAAACAGGCTGATATATAGGAGATCAGGTCAACTGATCACATGAAGACTTTGGCAGACAGGAACATCAGAGGCCCGAGACTGTTCAACACGCTTCCACTACACATAACTGGCCGACCCCTCACAGTGTTCAAGAGAGAACTATCAACATCGGAGGCCCGAGACTGTTCAACACGCTTCCACAACACATAACTGGCCGACCTCTCACAGTGTTCAAGAGAGAACTATCAACATCAGAGGCCCGAGACTGTTCAACACGCTTCCACTACACATAAGGGACATAACTGGCTGACCCCTCACAGTGTTCAAGAGAGAACTATCAACATCAGAGGCCCGAGAGAGTTCAACACGCTTCCACTACACATAAGGGACATAACTGGCCGACCCCTCACAGTGTTCAAGAGAGAACTATCAACATCAGAGGCCCGAGACTGTTCAACACGCTTCCACTACACATAACTGGCCGACCCCCCCACAGTGTTCAAGAGAGAACTATCAACATCAGAGGCCCGAGACTGTTCAACACGCTTCCACTACACATAACTGGCCGACCTCTCACAGTGTTCAAGAGAGAACTATCAACATCAGAGGCCCGAGACTGTTCAACACGCTTCCACTACACATAACTGGCCGACCCCTCACAGTGTTCAAGAGAGAACTATCAACATCAGAGGCCCGAGACTGTTCAACACGCTTCCACTACACATAACTGGCCGACCCCCCCACAGTGTTCAAGAGAGAACTATCAACATCAGAGGCCCGAGACTGTTCAACACGCTTCCACTACACATAACTGGCCGACCTCTCACAGTGTTCAAGAGAGAACTATCAACATCAGAGGCCCGAGACTGTTCAACACGCTTCCACTACACATAACTGGCCGACCCCTCACAGTGTTCAAGAGAGAACTATCAACATCAGAGGCCCGAGACTGTTCAACACGCTTCCACTACACATAACTGGCCGACCCCTCACAGTGTTCAAGAGAGAACTATCAACATCAGAGGCCCGAGACTGTTCAACACTAGTGAAGTGTTGTGGCTTTATAAGAATGTAAGAACTAGTTTATATACAAAATTAGATCATTGATGGTGTCAGATTGGAGTGAACGTAGATTATGTGAGTGGGGGGGGGGGTTGTATGGAAGTATACTGTGTGAGTGGGGGGTTGTATGGAAGTATACTATGTGAGTGGGGGGTTGTATGGAAGTATACTATGTGAGTGGGGGGTTGTATGGAAGTATACTATGTGAGTGGGGGGTTGTATGGAAGTATACTATGTGAGTGGGGGGTTGTATGGAAGTATACTGTGAGTGGGGGGATGTATGGAAGTATACTATGTGAGTGGGGGGATGTATGGAAGTATACTATGTGAGTGGGGGGTTGTATGGGAGTATACTATGTGAGTGGGGGGGTTGTATGGAAGTATACTGTGAGTGGGGGGGTTGTATGGAAGTATACTGTGAGTGGGGGGATGTATGGAAGTATACTATGTGAGTGGGGGGTTGTATGGGAGTATACTATGTGAGTGGGGGGGTTGTATGGAAGTATACTGTGAGTGGGGGGGTTGTATGGAAGTATACTATGTGAGTGGGGGGTTGTATGGAAGTATACTGTGAGTGGGGGGTTGTATGGGAGTATACTATGTGAGTGGGGGGTTGTATGGAAGTATACTGTGAGTGGGGGGTTGTATGGAAGTATACTGTGAGTGGGGGTTGTATGGAAGTATACTGTGAGTGGGGGGTTGTATGGAAGTATACTATGTGAGTGGGGGGTTGTATGGAAGTATACTGTGAGTGGGGGGTTGTATGGAAGTATACTGTGAGTGGGGGGTTGTATGGGAGTATACTATGTGAGTGGGGGGTTGTATGGAAGTATACTGTGAGTGGGGGGTTGTATGGAAGTATACTGTGAGTGGGGGGTTGTATGGGAGTATACTATGTGAGTGGGGGGTTGTATGGAAGTATACTGTGAGTGGGGGGTTGTATGGAAGTATACTATGTGAGTGGGGGGTTGTATGGAAGTATACTACGCGAGTGGGGGGTTGTATGGAAGTATACTGTGAGTGGGGGGTTGTATGGAAGTATACTGTGAGTGGGGGGTTGTATGGAAGTATACTATGTGAGTGGGGGGATGTATGGAAGTATACTATGTGAGTGGGGGGTTGTATGGAAGTATACTATGTGAGTGGGGGGATGTATGGAAGTATACTATGTGAGTGGGGGGTTGTATGGAAGTATACTATGTGAGTGGGGGGATGTATGGAAGTATACTGTGAGTGGGGGGTTGTATGGAAGTATACTATGTGAGTGGGGGGTTGTATGGAAGTATACTATGTGAGTGGGGGGATGTATGGAAGTATACTATGTGAGTGGGGGGTTGTATGGAAGTATACTGTGAGTGGGGGGTTGTATGGAAGTATACTATGTGAGCGGGGGGTTGTATGGAAGTATACTATGTGAGTGGGGGGATGTATGGAAGTATACTATGTGAGTGGGGGGTTGTATGGAAGTATACTGTGAGTGGGGGGTTGTATGGAAGTATACTGTGAGTGGGGGGTTGTATGGAAGTATACTGTGAGTGGGGGGTTGTATGGATGTATACTATGTGAGTGGGGGGTTGTATGGAAGTATACTGTGAGTGGGGGGTTGTATGGAAGTATACTAACACGTGGTTGGCGTTCCACCAATGGGGGTTTTCTTCAGGGTGAGGGGATAGGATGCCCCCAACATGGCGGGTCTCCGGCCAGCCCCGTGAGGTCATCAAGGGCCGCAGTCGCTGCCACCGCTGTTCGCAACTCTCGCTGTCGAAGCAATACCATCCTCCTGTAAAATAAAATAATTTTAGCTCAACTTTGCTCAACTTTAGCTCAACTTTTAGCTCTACTTTGCTCAACTTTAGCTCAACTCAACACTCTGCATTCTGTTTGACAAAGTAGAAAATCGAACGCCCCACATTACGCGTCATTCCCATTGACCTCATTTTGTGTGTTATCACTCCATGGTCACATTTGTCGAATGCCTTCGCGAAGTACCTTACCTTGAGGTGCTTCCGGGGCTTAGCGTCCCCGCGGCCCGGTCGTCGACCAGGCCTCCTGGTTGCTATATGGTGTTGGTATTGAAATTGAAATAAGTTTATTGAGGTAAAATACACACAAAGGGATGAGGTAGCTCAAGCTATTCTCACCCCGTTCAGTACATCGTGTTAATACATACATAGACACACATCACAAACAATAAACATATTACCAAACATTCTGAGAGATAAATATATACATTTCCTATGATGTTGGTGTATTCCACATCTGCATTTTGTTTTTCTTCTAATGATCACTACGACAAAGTCACTAAGACAAGTAACTGAGAGAGGAACGATTTTCCCGCTCTGAATCCATGTTGGCCTGGGTTGTGGAAGTCATTGGTTACCATGAAACTGGTGACCCGAGTCCAAATCACTCTCTCGAATACTTTTATTATGTGGGACGTTAGTGCAACTGGTCTATAATTCTTTGCCAATGCTTTGCTCCCTCCTTTTGGTGTTAATCTAAACTCCCCCCCCCCCCCCCCCCCCCCTCCCCCCCCCCCCCACCACCTTAACCTATTGTGTAGATGTTGGTAACACCGTAACATTCTTAAGGGAGACGGTCGGCCGAGCGGACAGCACGCTGGACTTGTGATCCTGTGGTCCTGGGTTCGATCCCAGGCGCCGGCAAGAAACAATAGGCAGAGTTTCTTTCACCCTATGCCCCTGTTACCTAGCAGTAAAATAGGTACCTGGGTGTTAGTCAGCTGTCACGGGCTGCTTTCTGGGGGTGGAGGCCTGGTTGAGGACCGGGCCGCGGGGACACTAAAGCCCCGAAATCATCTCAAGATATAACACTTCAAGCACCCCCCCTCCCCTCACTCACCCATACAGCAGGCACCATTGAGCTTAGACCACCTAAGCAATGTTCCATGCTACCATTATATTACCAATACATTACATGTACAAAAAAAAATCAAAATGATTCGCGAAACAAATGAAAAATAATCCAAACCCTGTATAAATCGACATAGAAAAAAGCGCGAACAACTCGCGAATAGTGGTAAGAAAAACGCGCGAACGCTTCGGATATATAATAAATCGGATAAAGGAGGAGAATAGTGGCCGAAGGAGCGGGTACAAAGGGCACCTCCACCACTGGGTTTAATTTAGCGTTGGCCGGGTATGGTAGCGAGCGCCATGATGATAACACTCCGGACACCAGACACAGGACGGGATAATTGATGCGCCTACACTGCTGCCAGCAAGATGCACGCCACAGATCCCGCGTCTAATTCTTACGGCGACCTTCTCTTGCTGGTCTGTGGCCGGCTCCTTGACTTGTCCCTGTTGATGGAGAGGCGGGGGCGGCTCTTGACTTGACTTGTCCCTGTTGATGGAGAGGCGAGGGCGGCTCCTTGACTTGTCCCTGTTGATGGAGAGGCGAGGGCGGCTCCTTGTTGTTCCTGTTGATGGAGAGGCGAGGGCTTTGACTGTTGTTGATGGAGAGGCGGGGGCGGCTCCTTGACTTGTCCCTGTTGATGGAGAGGCGAGGGCGGCTCCTTGACTGTTGATGGAGAGGCGAGGGCGGCTCCTTGACTTGTCCCTGTTGATGGAGAGGCGAGGGCGGCTCCTTGACTTGTCCCTGTTGATGGAGAGGCGAGGGCGGCTCCTTGACTTGTTCCTGTTGATGGGGAGGCGGGGGCGGCTCCTTGACTTGTCCCTGTTGATGGAGCTTGTGTTGATGGAGAGGCGAGGGCGGCTCCTTGACTTGTCCCTGTTGATGGAGAGGCGAGGGCGGCTCCTTGACTTGTTCCTGTTGATGGAGAGGCGGGGGCGGCTCCTTGACTTGTCCCTGTTGATGGAGAGGCGGGGGCGGCTCCTTGACTTGTCCCTGTTGATGGAGAGGCGGGGCCGGCTCCTTGACTTCTTCCTGTTGATGGAGCTTGTGTTGATGGAGCTTGTGTTGATGGAGCTTGTGTTGATGGAGCTTGTGTTGATGGAGCCTGTGTTGATGGAGCTTGTGTTGATGGAGCCTGTGTTGATGGAGCTTGTGTTGATGGAGAGGCGAAGGGACCCACAGCAAACACCCTAACAACGACGTTTTTAACGTTCCTACGTTGTTAAGATGTATTAAAGTACAAGTAACGTTGTTATCTTTAGACGATTTCGGGGCTTTTTAATGTCCCCGCGGCCCCGGTCCTCGACCAGGCCTCCACCCCCAGGAAGCAGCCCGTGACAGCTGACTAACACCCAGGTACCTATTTTACTGCTAGGTAACAGGGGGCATAGGGTGAAAGAAGCATGTTAGGGCATGTGTCTTGTTATGGAGGTCATCTTGCTCGTGTGGCGAGCCTTCTTCATAGACACACACTCAACATTAATAACTTTATTCCGTGACAGCTGACTAACTCCCAGGTACCTATTTACTGCTAGGTAACAGGGGCCTTCAGGGTGAAAGAAACTTTGCCCGTTTGTTTCTGCCTCGTGCGGGAATTGAACCCGCGCCACAGAATTACGAGTCCTGCGCGCTATCCACCAGGCTACGAGGCCACCCGTAGTAATACATTTATAACAGGGAAGGTTCACATATAAGATTTGGTACATCCATAAATCTGGTACTTTTGGTACCTTTACACAAAAGGTAAATTCATTATTTTACCTTGCAGCCTCCTGGTTGGTAGTGTGGTCAACCAGGCTGTTGGACGCGGCTGTTCGCAGCTTGACGTATGAATCACAGCCTGGTTGATTAGGTAGCCTTTCGAGGTGTTTATCAAGTTCTCTCTTGAACACTGAGGGGTCGGCCAGTTATGTCCCTTATGTGTAGTGGAAGCGTGTTGAACAGTCTCGGGCCTCTGATGTTGATAGTTCTCTCTTGAACACTGTGAGGGGTCGGCCAGTTATGTGTAGTGGAAGCGTGTTGAACAGTCTCGGGCCTCTGATGTTGATAGTTCTCTCTTGAACACTGTGAGGGGTCGGCCAGTTATGTGTAGTGGAAGCGTGTTGAACAGTCTCGGGCCTCTGATGTTGATAGTTCTCTCTTGAACACTGTGAGGGGTCGGCCAGTTATGTTCCTTATGTGTAGTGGAAGCGTGTTGAACAGTCTCGGGCCTCTGATGTTGATAGTTCTCTCTTGAACACTGTGAGGGGTCGGCCAGTTATGTGTAGTGGAAGCGTGTTGAACAGTCTCGGGCCTCTGATGTTGATAGTTCTCTCTTGATCACTGTGAGGGGTCGGCCAGTTATGTGTAGTGGAAGCGTGTTGAACAGTCTCGGGCCTCTGATGTTGATAGTTCTCTCTTGATCACTGTGAGGGGTCGGCCAGTTATGTGTAGTGGAAGCGTGTTGAACAGTCTCGGGCCTCTGATGTTGATAGTTCTCTCTTGAACACTGTGAGGGGTCGGCCAGTTATGTGTAGTGGAAGCGTGTTGAACAGTCTCGGGCCTCTGATGTTGATAGTTCTCTCTTGAACACTGTGAGGGGTCGGCCAGTTATGTTCCTTATGTGTAGTGGAAGCGTGTTGAACAGTCTCGGGCCTCTGATGTTGATAGTTCTCTCTTGAACACTGTGAGGGGTCGGCCAGTTATGTGTAGTGGAAGCGTGTTGAACAGTCTCGGGCCTCTGATGTTGATAGTTCTCTCTTGAACACTGTGAGGGGTCGGCCAGTTATGTCTCTTATGTGTAGTGGAAGCGTGTTGAACAGTCTCGGGCCTCTGATGTTGATAGTTCTCTCTTGAACACTGTGAGGGGTCGGCCAGTTATGTGTAGTGGAAGCGTGTTCAACAGTCTCGGGCCTCTGATGTTGATAGTTCTCTCTTGAACACTGTGAGGGGTCGGCCAGTTATGTCCCTTAGTGTGTAGTGGAAGCGTGTTGAACAGTCTCGGGCCTCTGATGTTGATAGTTCTCTCTTGAACACTGTGAGGGGTCGGCCAGTTCGGGCCTCTGATGTGTAGTGGAAGCGTGTTGAACAGTCTCGGGCCTCTGATGTTGATAGTTCTCTCTTGAACACTGTGAGGGGTCGGCCAGTTATGTGTGTAGTGGAAGCGTGTTGAACAGTCTCGGGCCTCTGATGTTGATAGTTCTCTCTTGAACACTGTGAGGGGTCGGCCAGTTATGTCCCTTATGTGTAGTGGAAGCGTGTTGAACAGTCTCGGGCCTCTGATGTTGATAGTTCTCTCTTGAACACTGTGAGGGGTCGGCCAGTTATGTGTAGTGGAAGCGTGTTGAACAGTCTCGGGCCTCTGATGTTGATAGTTCTCTCTTGAACACTGTGAGGGGTCGGCCAGTTATGTGTAGTGGAAGCGTGTTGAACAGTCTCGGGCCTCTGATGTTGATAGTTCTCTCTTGAACACTGTGAGGGGTCGGCCAGTTATGTCCCTTATGTGTAGTGGAAGCGTGTTGAACAGTCTCGGGCCTCTGATGTTGATAGTTCTCTCTTGAACACTGTGAGGGGTCGGCCAGTTATGTGTAGTGGAAGCGTGTTGAACAGTCTCGGGCCTCTGATGTTGATAGTTCTCTCTTGATCACTGTGAGGGGTCGGCCAGTTATGTGTAGTGGAAGCGTGTTGAACAGTCTCGGGCCTCTGATCACAAACAATAAACATATTACCAAACATTCTGAGAGATAAATATATACATTTCCTATGATGTTGGTGTATTCCACATCTGCATTTTGTTTTTCTTCTAATGATCACTACGACAAAGTCACTAAGACAAGTAACTGAGAGAGGAACGATTTTCCCGCTCTGAATCCATGTTGGCCTGGGTTGTGGAAGTCATTGGTTACCATGAAACTGGTGACCCGAGTCCAAATCACTCTCTCGAATACTTTTATTATGTGGGACGTTAGTGCAACTGGTCTATAATTCTTTGCCAATGCTTTGCTCCCTCCTTTTGGTGTTAATCTAAACTCCCCCCCCCCCCCCCCCCCCCCCTCCCCCCCCCACCACCTTAACCTATTGTGTAGATGTTGGTAACACCGTAACATTCTTAAGGGAGACGGTCGGCCGAGCGGACAGCACGCTGGACTTGTGATCCTGTGGTCCTGGGTTCGATCCCAGGCGCCGGCAAGAAACAATAGGCAGAGTTTCTTTCACCCTATGCCCCTGTTACCTAGCAGTAAAATAGGTACCTGGGTGTTAGTCAGCTGTCACGGGCTGCTTTCTGGGGGTGGAGGCCTGGTTGAGGACCGGGCCGCGGGGACACTAAAGCCCCGAAATCATCTCAAGATATAACACTTCAAGCACCCCCCCTCCCCTCACTCACCCATACAGCAGGCACCATTGAGCTTAGACCACCTAAGCAATGTTCCATGCTACCATTATATTACCAATACATTACATGTACAAAAAAAAATCAAAATGATTCGCGAAACAAATGAAAAATAATCCAAACCCTGTATAAATCGACATAGAAAAAAGCGCGAACAACTCGCGAATAGTGGTAAGAAAAACGCGCGAACGCTTCGGATATATAATAAATCGGATAAAGGAGGAGAATAGTGGCCGAAGGAGCGGGTACAAAGGGCACCTCCACCACTGGGTTTAATTTAGCGTTGGCCGGGTATGGTAGCGAGCGCCATGATGATAACACTCCGGACACCAGACACAGGACGGGATAATTGATGCGCCTACACTGCTGCCAGCAAGATGCACGCCACAGATCCCGCGTCTAATTCTTACGGCGACCTTCTCTTGCTGGTCTGTGGCCGGCTCCTTGACTTGTCCCTGTTGATGGAGAGGCGGGGGCGGCTCCTTGACTTGTCCCTGTTGATGGAGAGGCGAGGGCGGCTCCTTGACTTGTCCCTGTTGATGGAGAGGCGAGGGCGGCTCCTTGACTTGTCCCTGTTGATGGAGAGGCGAGGGCGGCTCCTTGACTTGTTCCTGTTGATGGAGAGGCGGGGGCGGCTCCTTGACTTGTTCCTGTTGATGGAGAGGCGAGGGCGGCTCCTTGACTTGTCCCTGTTGATGGAGAGGCGAGGGCGGCTCCTTGACTTGTTCCTGTTGATGGAGAGGCGAGGGCGGCTCCTTGACTTGTTCCTGTTGATGGAGAGGCGAGGGCGGCTCCTTGACTTGTCCCTGTTGATGGAGAGGCGAGGGCGGCTCCTTGACTTGTTCCTGTTGATGGAGAGGCGAGGGCGGCTCCTTGACTTGTTCCTGTTGATGGAGAGGCGGGGCGGCTCCTTGACTTGTCCCTGTTGATGGAGAGGCGGGGGCGGCTCCTTGACTTGTTCCTGTTGATGGAGAGGCGGGGGCGGCTCCTTGACTTGTCCCTGTTGATGGAGAGGCGGGGGCGGCTCCTTGACTTGTTCCTGTTGATGGAGAGGCGGGGGCGGCTCCTTGACTTGTCCCTGTTGATGGAGAGGCGGGGGCGGCTCCTTGACTTGTCCCTGTTGATGGAGAGGCGGGGGCGGCTCCTTGACTTGTCCCTGTTGATGGAGAGGCGGGGGCGGCTCCTTGACTTGTCCCTGTTGATGGAGAGGCGGGGGCGGCTCCTTGACTTGTCCCTGTTGATGGAGCTTGTGTTGATGGAGCTTGTACTCACCTAATTGTACTCACCTAATTGTGCTTGCGGGGGTTGAGCTTTGGCTCTTTGGGCCCGCCTCTCAACCGTCAATCAACTGGTGTACAGATTCCTGAGCCTATTGGGCTCTATCATATCTACATTTGAAACTGTGTATGGAGTCAGCCTCCACCACATCACTGCCTAATGCATTCCATTTATTAACTACTCTGACACTGAAAAAATTCGTTCTAACGTCTCTGTGGCTCATCTGGGTACTAAGTTTCCACCTGTGTCCCCTTGTTCGTGTCCCACCCGTGCTGAAGAGTTTGTCTTTGTCCACCCTGTCAATTCCCCTGAGAATTTTGTAGGGGGTTATCATGTCTCCCCTTACTTACCCCTTGATTACTGAGCTCTTCACGATTGATGGTCTAGATTTTACTTAGTTGACTATTACACACTTCTCATGTTAGTAAGGGAATAGTTGGAAAATAATTCCTATTTTTCCCTTTGAAAGCATTTTGTGCTCAATAACACCATCTTGAGGTTATCTTGAGATGATTTCGGGGCTTTAGTGTCCCCGCGGCCCGGTCCTCGACCAGGCCTCCACCCCCAGGAAGCAGCCCGTGACAGCTGACTAACACCCAGGTACCTATTTACTGCTAGGTAACAGGGGCATTCAGGGTGAAAGAAACTTTGCCGATTTGTTTCTGCCTCGTGCGGGAATCGAACCCGCGCCACAGAATTACGAATCCCGCGCGCTATCCACCAGGCTACGAGGCCTCCCATGATCACATTTGTTGAAGACTTTTAAAAGTAAGACTTTTAACATTGAATCAACATTAATAACATTGAATAAAGCATTAATTTAACGGTATTAAACACATTTTGCTCTTTAGCCAAAAAAATTAGAAAACGTAGTTTTCCTAAACATAAAATCCGGGGCTGACTATATTAGAATTTTGTTTTGTCCTTTTAACTGTTGGAGGAGGAGCAGCGGCGTTGTGAAGCGCCGTCGCTGGTCGCTAACCTTTGTTGACTATCTCTCCTGCCTTAATGACTCTCCGCTTGCTCGTCGGCAACCTTTATAGAAAAAAAACAAACCTCTTTCAGAGATTTTACTGTCTATCTGATCCGTCACTTCTCATTTATTTACGTGTAAATGTAAATCGAATCTGGAGATCGCAGCCCAACATGGCGGCCAATCACTGGGCTTGGGGGTAAGGCGAGGCGTCTGAATGTCGGCTTTACACATCTTGACTTGATGATGTTATCAGGAGATATTCCCGCTGGATGTTACGCTGTGCCGCCAGCACGGACAAGCATCAATCAGCCACAACAAGACACGTATCGGGTCTGTCTCCTTCGTTTAGCATTAGCAGCGAGTCCTCCGCCAAGACGTCAAGCCAGTATTATCGCCGACAATCTGTTAACAAGAATCGTCATTTGATTATCTTGGCTTGTGAAGAAGCCGCCGCCATCCCATGATGGGCCTTGCTAGCCAGGATGCCTTTTGTGTTCCAGCCTCTGGACTCTACCAGGGGCTCTCAGAACACAGCCTCGGAGCTCTACCAGGGGCTCTCAGAACACAGCCTCTGCACTCTACCAGGGGCTCTCAGAACACAGCCTCGGAGTTCTACCAGGGGCTCTCAGAACACAGCCTCGGAGCTCTACCAGGGGCTCTCAGAACACAGCCTCGGAGCTCTACCAGGGGCTCTCAGAACACAGCCTCGGGGCTCTACCAGGGGCTCTCAGAACACAGCCTCGGAGCTCTACCAGGGGCTCTCAGAACACAGCCTCGGAGCTCTACCAGGGGCTCTCAGAACACAGCCTCGGAGCTCTACCAGGGGCTCTCAGAACACAGCCTCGGAGCTCTACCAGGGGCTCTCAGAACACAGCCTCGGAGCTCTACCAGGGGCTCTCAGAACACAGCCTCGGAGCTCTACCAGGGGCTCTCAGAACACAGCCTCGGAGCTCTACCAGGGGCTCTCAGAACACAGCCTCGGAGCTCTACCAGGGGCTCTCAGAACACAGCCTCGGAGCTCTACCAGGGGCTCTCAGAACACAGCCTCGGAGCTCTACCAGGGGCTCTCAGAACACAGCCTCGGAGCTCTACCAGGGGCTCTCAGAACACAGCCTCGGAGCTCTACCAGGGGCTCTCAGAATAGCCTTGGGAGTTTGCAAATCTGCATTGTGTTAGGTAATGTTCCAGTGGTGTTAGGGTTAGGTAGGTTACCCAACAAGGGTAATATGGTATATATCCATATAGGTATATAATACCTATATAAGGTTAGGTATACCCGTTTGATGGGGTTCTGGGAGTTGTTCTACTGCCCAAGCCCGGCCCGAGGCCAGGCTTGACTTGTGAGAGTTTGGTCCACCAGGCTGTTGCTTGGAGCGGCCCGCAGGCCCACATATACCTGCTTGATGGGGTTTTAGGAGTTGTTCTACTCCCCCTAGCCCGGCCCGAGGCCAGGCTTGACTTGTGAGAGTTTGGTCCACCAGGCTGTTGCTTGGAGCGGCCCGCAGGCCCACATACCCACCACAGCCCGGTTGGTCCGGCACTTCTTTAAGAAAACTATCAAGTTTTATCTTGAAGATGTATATGTTTCAGAACATAGACGCGATAAAGCACCTAAATTATTGGGATCGTCTCAAAGCTCCCCAAATATACTCACTAGAAAGGAGACAAGAGAGATACCAAATAATATACACGTGAAAGATACTGGAGGGCCAGGTCCCAAATCTACACAGTAAAATAACAACGTACTGGAGTGAACGATATGGAAGAAAATGCAGAATAGAACCAGTGAAGAGCAGAGGTGCCATAGGCACAATCAGAGAACACTGTATAAACATCAGAGGTCCGCGATTGTTCAATGCCTCCCAGCGAGCATCAGAAATATTGCCGGAACAACAGTGGACATCTTCAAGAGGGAACTAGACTGTTTTCTTCAAGACGTGGCGGATCAATCGGGCTGTGATGGGTATGTGGGCCTGCGGGCCGCTCCAAGCAACAGCCTGGTGGACCAAACTCTCACAAGTCAAGCCTGGCCTCGGGCCGGGCTTGGGCAGTAGAAGAACTCCCAGAACCCCATCAACCAGGTATATGTGGGCCTGCGGGCCGTTCCAAGCAACAGCCTGGTGGACCAAACTCTCACAAGTCAAGCCTGGCCTCGGGCCGGGCTTGGGCAGTAGAAGAACTGCCAGAACCCCATCAACCAGGTATATGTGGGCCTGCGGGCCGCTCCAAGCAACAGCCTGGTGGACCAAACTCTCACAAGTCAAGCCTGGCCTCGGGCCGGGCTTGGGCAGTAGAAGAACTGCCAGAACCCCATCAACCAGGTATATGTGGGCCTGCGGGCCGCTCCAAGCAACAGCCTGGTGGACCAAACTCTCACAAGTCAAGCCTGGCCTCGGGCCGGGCTTGGGCAGTAGCACAACTCCCAGAACCCCATCAACCAGGTATCAAGCAGCGGTCTATCGGGTATTTCGCCCCAGTGCTGACGTTTCCAATAGACCTGCGTCACCCCAATACAGGTCCCATTAAAGTACTGTAAGAATAAGCTGAAGGAGACTGAAGACTCATCACGATGAACCAAACCATGTCACAACTGAACAGCCGAGGAAGTAGAGAGCTGCTAGAATCACACATGCATGTGGTATGTGCATGTGGTATGTGCATGTGGCATGTCTACACACGCCACAGGTAAACACCAACATGGCTTCACAAAAGACAAGTCTTGCTTAACGATCCTACTAGAATTTTTCAACAAGTATTAACTGTAGATAATTTTGAGAGCGTTTTTGTTCCACGCTGATTGGCAAATCTTTATGACTGTGTGTGAAGCCCGCGAGACCACGGCCGTTACTCCTGTGGAAACTGTGCTCTCTAATTATGCTCAAGGCGCCTCGACTTTCCATTGCATTTAAAGGTTCCTATCATCTCTCTCACTCCAACATGTTACAATTTTATTATGAAAGTTTGAAGCCTGATCTTTCGTGTTCCAAGGAATATAACGAGTCATTTCAGGTGGTTTAAGTGGTTATCTTGAGATGATTTCGGGGCTTTAGTGTCCCCGCGGCCCGGTCCTCGATTAGGCCTCCACCCCCAGGAAGCAGCCCGTGACAGATGACTAACACCCAGGTACCTATTTACTGCTAGGTAACAGGGGCATAGGGTGAAAGGAACTCTGCCCATTGTTTCTCGCCGGCGCCTGGGATCGAACCCAGGACCACAGGATCACAAGTCCATCGTGCTGTCCGCTCGGCCGACCGGCTCCCTTTGAATGTTTCTCTGAGTGTGTATGATAGGTGTGTGTGATAGCACCTCCAAAGGATACCTGATCAACCAGGCTGTGACTCATACGTCAGGCTGCGAGCAGCCGCGTCCAACAGCCTGGTTGACCAGTCCAGCAACCAGGAGGCCTGGTCGACGACCGGGCCGCGGGGACGCTGAGCCCCGGAAGCACCTCAAGGTACACCGGAAAGCATTTTGAATTTATGTAGGTAATGAAACAAATTACCATTTCTAGGCCTAATACACGCTATCTGAGGCTTAATATAGTACATATATGTACTATATCAGTACATATATGTACCTAATATAGTACATATATGTACTATATCAGTACATATATGTACCTAATATAGTAAATATATGTACTATATCAGTACATATATGTACATATATGTACTGTATAGTACATATATGTACTATATCAGTACATAGTACATATATGTACTATATCAGGCCTTGGAATATTTTTAGTTTGTTTTTAGGTAAACAGTGAGTAGTACCAAATTGTACTATCTAATTGTCCATTACGTCACTATAGGTAAGATGGTCCGCATACTTACAAGGGGTGACGTCTGAACACCAGGATGGGTATTATGCCTGGTGTACTAAATGACTTCATTGGTTGACAGGGGGGGGGTCACCACGGGTTGACAGGGGTCACCACGGGTTGACAGGGGTCACCACGGGTTGACAGGGGTCACCACGGGTTGACAGGGATCACCACTGGTTGACAGGGATCACCACGGGTTGACAGGGGTCACCACGGGTTGACAGGGATCACCACGGGTTGACAGGGGTCACCACGGGTTGACAGGGGTCACCACGGGTTGACAGGGGTCACCACGGGTTGACAGGGGTCACCACGGGTTGACAGGGGTCACCACGGGTTGACAGGGGTCACCACGGGTTGACAGGGGTCACCACGGGTTGACAGGGGTCACCACGGGTTGACAGGGGTCACCACGGGTTGACAGGGATCACCACTGGTTGACAGGGGTCACCACTGGTTGACAGGGATCACCACGGGTTGACAGGGATCACCACTGGTTGACAGGGGTCACCACGGGTTGACAGGCGTCACCACTGGTTGACAGGCATCACCACTGGTTGACAGGGATCACCACGGGTTGACAGACATCACCACTGGTTGACAGGGATCACCACTGGTTGACAGGGGTCACCACTGGTTGACAGGGGTCACCACTGGTTGACAGGGGTCACCACTGGTTGACAGGGGTCACCACTGGTTGACAGGCATCACCACTGGTTGACAGGCATCACCACTGGTTGACAGGGGTCACCACTGGTTGACAGGGGTCACCACTGGTTGACAGGGGTCACCACTGGTTGACAGGGGTCACCACTGGTTGACAGGCATCACCACTGGTTGACAGGCATCACCACTGGTTGACAGGGATCACCACGGGTTGACAGACATCACCACTGGTTGACAGGGATCACCACTGGTTGACAGGGGTCACCACTGGTTGACAGGGATCACCACTGGTTGACAGGGGTCACCACTGGTTGACAGGCATCACCACTGGTTGACAGGCATCACCACTGGTTGACAGGGGTCACCACTGGTTGACAGGCATCACCACTGGTTGACAGACATCACCACTGGTTGACAGGGATCACCACTGGTTGACAGGGGTCACCACTGGTTGACAGGGGTCACCACTGGTTGTATCAAATTAAAATCTTCAAACTGGTGTATTGAAGGCTGCAGTTTGCTCAGAATCACTTCTATGTGTTGCAAGAGTTGTATTACGTACGTGTATTACAAATACAGCTGAAATACAAATTTATTGCTTATGATCTTAAGAAGAAACATTAAAATAAAGCTCTCAATATATGCATATATCCACGTTTTGTAAATATGTAAACATTGGA